ACGTAATCCTACTGCGAATAAGGGCATCTGAAAGTCCAAATTTGGAATTTGTTTTATTATCGATTTCATATTTTGTAAAACTTTAACGAATTTTTGACTAACAAACTCAATGATTTAAAAGCGAGCAATGGCAACACTCTATGGGGGGGGGAACCTTTTTATCTCCAGCGCGTGGAACTGTGTATCGGAAATTCTAAAAGATATGCTCATTTTAAAATTATTTTGCGACATTGCTGCTGAACTGAATTTTATGGTTTAAGTGCAAAGAACATGATGCTTAATAAATAAAGGTAACACACAGAACGTTAAAAACACGCCTCTTTGGACGTAATTTAAAATCTGAAACCTTTTAGATTTTTTTTTTTTTTTTTTTTTTTTTTTTTTTACATAGATAAAGCTTTTGACAGATTTGTGAAAAAATTTGGAAATCTTTTATTATTCGAATACGAGAAAATTTATCATCCGTCCCGCCTCTGCTCTTAACCGTCAGGGACTTCAATGCTAAAGCCATTGTCTAGTTAATCATCATGAGCTGACCACCGCGTCTCGTCTGATAAGGGGACTTCAATGCTAAAGCCATTGTCTAGTTAATCATCATGAGCTGACCACCGCGTCTCGTCTGATAAGGGGACTTCAATGCTAAAGCCATTGTCTAGTTAATCATCATGAGCTGACCACCGCGTCTCGTCTGATAAGGCGAAGCCAACCAAAGCTCGGTTTGGTACTTTTCATTTTTTAACAGAAATCTTCTCTGTAGCCGGAGTGTGCACCGGAGCTGCAGAGGAGATACGTTTCAGCTCTTTCGTATACAAGTGAATAGCAATACCATCAGACAATTGCATTTTTTTATGCAAAACAGTTTTAGCTGCTTACTACTAATACTGATACTAATAGCAACTACTGAATGTATACATAATAATACCGGTTGCTGAATACATGCTCACATTCTCTGGGAAAAGCAACATATGCAGAGAATCTTAAATCTTGCCATAAGGAAGTGCTGTCTCTTCAAGAAATAAAATGCTTATTGGCTATTAATAAGTTCAAGAAGACTAAGAATAAAGAAGCAATATAAAAGAGCAATCTTAAGTGATCTTATGAAGATCTTATGAGTTGCTATCATTAATTTACTTGCCTTCCATTTGTTTATTGTTTGATTTCCAGTATTTGTTATGACATATTTATTTTAATTTAATTTGTTATTTTGCATTTATCCTTAACTTAATTTAATTTATTACTTTTCTATACTTTAAAATTTTATTTAATTTTAATTAATGTTTTTGAATTGCTTTAATGATTATTACTACATTTGTTTTTGTTCATCTTTTTAACTGCAATTTATATAGGGCAACGTTACTGCTAATTTTAGAAATTAAACTCTGGATATAATGCAATACTACCATTCCCATCTACTTTATATTAAGATATTTATCAAATTAAATTCGCAGGTTTACCATTCCAGCGTTCAAATTAAAAATGGCTCGGTTGATTTTTATTAGGTCATGGAAAATTTGTCATAGAACACTTAACATGAGGCGGAGTCATCGCTTCGTTTAAGAGAATTTGACCTATGTTACTCAAGTATTTTGAGCAATGTTTAGTTTAAATATAGTTTATATCATGTGGTTTAAAAAGAGATCAGGCAGCTTCATAAAAATTTTTTAATTAAAATTTACAGATTTTATGATCATAAAAGCAAATCTTTTTGAATAATAGAAATTATAAGGCCATTTTTTATATGTTCTTTTTTTCTTCATATTATTATTATTATTATTATTATTTTAGTTTTCTATCAGCAGTCTTTTTACAATAGCTATTACAAATATTAATTCAATATAGAAAATCAAGAAAATGGAATGTCAATCATTCTGTCAGCAGATAATTCTATTTCACATTGAACTGGGAAAAAAATCACCTAAAATTGAATTATTGTTTTTAACTGTACATATATTGCTGTAGGTTTTCCTTATCCTCGTGAATGCAAAATCGATCACCCTCTGTGGTGCACCTGGACAACGTTTTCTGTCATGAGATGGCTAAATGACCCATGGGTACTTGCTATTCCTGACGTTGCAAGTGCCCGGCCAACAATAATAACAATATGTTGTTAATAAAACAACAACATAGTGCTGTAGATATTCATCGCCAGGATGTTATATTATGTAGACTCTGACATCATTTGAGCGAAGCGCGAAAATATCTGCTTGGAGTTATGACGGCATACTAGTAAACCTATAATAAGAATTTAATTTATAATTAAAAACTATAATCTATCTACATTTACATCATTTATGTCTAAAAATTAGAATAAATCTACGTTTACATCATATACTAATAATTCAGAGCTTGTTTTACAAGAAACTGTCTCATCACCTTGATATAGCAATAACAAGCTGCAGCTTAAGCACTTTAAGCACAGTCCCATATCTCCCGTTAAAACAGATCACACTGGACAAATTTTGACTGAAACGTAGTTGAATGCTTCGAAACGAAATTTCAAATATTAATTGTTTGAAAGTATGCCATTGAGATTGGGATGATCTAAAACAACATAGCTTTCACGCTTACGGTGACAGTGAAGAAATTTCGAAATTTTAAAATGGTAACGCTCAGTTTTTTATTTCCTAAGTAAATTGATCTGCGCATCCGAAAAACTATAAAGCCATCCAGTTTCATTTCCATTGCCATACTAGTTGGTTTTCCTTTCTTCTCATTCACCATTTTCATTCCATAGAAAGCACAACGTTTGTAAGCTTGGACATAAACTAAGAAACTGTAGTCAGAAGGAACCTGGATGAGAGGGGGAATAAGATAGATTGGAATTGTCAAGAAAAGAACAAAACCTGTCACCAAGAAATATTGTCACAAAGGGAAATGGACAGAAATTGTCAAAAGAGTGTACCATAACAAATTTTTGAGCAGAGCAAGGTAACATGCGGAGATTCATACTCGTAAAACTGTACTATTATTAAAGACATAAATTTAATAAAATGTGGCTATACCGTTTGCACCGCATAGGCGATTTAAAAATTATTGCAGTCTAACTATTAATAGGTCTCCACATTATTTCAAAGATGTTATGCTTCATCAAAAGAAATCGTTTAGTGATTTAAAAATAAATGACCATCGAGTAGTACGGAATGTCAAGTAAGTCGGGAGTCTACTGTACAGGCTTTCATATTCTGCATTTTAATGATGGGCATATTATTCATGACCACTGGCACTCATATTATTACTTCGCATCCACTTTACATTCCAAACTATCTTAATTATGAAAGGTTACTTCATCGAGCGATTAGGTCGGCTATCTTATTTAAAAGATCTCTACAGGCTTCTTTCTCAAATACGGACAATTCTAAACATAAGAATCTTAAAACTTGTTGTTAATCTGTCTCACTGCTGAAACATAATTTTCTGCTCAATGTATACCTCAAAATAATTACTTTGCATTGCTCATAAACAAACCATTTCCTATTACGCTTACACAGACCTCAGTGCAAGAATGGAAACACAGCTCATAATTATGTTTCCAACCATCCATTGGCGATTTACAACCAAAGAAAGTCATCCTATAGCTCTAACGATTCTGTCAAAGACCTAAAATTTAAACGCTTTTATTTCTACAGTTTCATTTCCAGTGATGTTAGAAGTTAGTGATAACTATTATAAATTACACTGGAATGTCTATAAATACAATCTAAATGTGAAGCACTTACCTCTTGAAAGACTAAGACAGAAACTGCTGTAGCAATGTAGATATTCAACTTTATTTCAACATTTAAAATTGCTACATTTTAAGGGCAAAGAGCAAGAGAAATGACGAACTACCGACTAATATCAAAAACTTATATACAGATTTATAACAGGTACCTAAAAACTATTATCGTTCCTGCAATTCTAACACCAGAAGTCAGATTAATGCCTTAAGCGGAGACATTAAGAAATGTGTTACAGAATACAAAAACAATATTTGAAATAATAAAATTTCAAACCTCTCTCCTGGTGATAGTTCTGTATGGGCCTTTCTTCAGGAAATTTAAAAAGCACATCAAATATCAGCAGTCTCACCCAGGTAGATTGAGGATTTTTCTATTCAAACGGAGATATAGCGCAAGATTTGCATACTATTTCAGGCAGCACTCGTCATAAATGACCCCTTCAAGCAACAGTTTTATCAACCATGTAAATCATAATGCGCTAATGAACAGATGACTTACTACACAGATGGGTAACAGAACTTCTTTAAACTTTTCGTGCACATTTTTCTTCGACGTGTTATGATAAAATCTGAAATCTTCAAATTCCAATTTGTTTCTTCTTTTATTTTGTGATTATTTGTTTCTGTCGAAATTTTTAGCTCTTAAGTGAGGTGAATGTGGTTGAAAAGCGGAGTCAGTTGAGATTTAAGATAAACAAATAGGGAATGCTCCGTCAAAAGCGTATGTGTGTACATTCATATTTAACTAATACATTGATACCATTTTTAGAGAACACTTGTACTTTTCAAATGAGTAAAAATTTCATTCTATGGCATCTCAGATTTACCCTCCTCCCTTTTTATGCTTGTATGCCCAGTAGTAGGGAGAATATCTGTTATTCCATATGCACAAGTTCAGAAAATTTTAAGATAACTGAAAAGTCTAGTATGAAAATATTGTAAAATTAACCCTAAAAATATCTATATTTAATCAATGACTTTTACCGATTTCCTTACCAAAGATGATTTATTGATTCTGCATCTTTTGGGCAGACCTTGTTCTACAAAAAGTGTAAAATTCCTTTAAACGTAGTAACAATGTATCAACTGAAGTACTTGTGTTGCATTTTTTTATTAATTTTCTAAATAAATTATAAAAAAAAAACCATGAAAAATTCCTTTTTCCTTGTAAATCAGAACTGATTTTTTTCATTTGCCTTCTCTTGTAACACTATTCCTAATAGGTTATTGAGTTTCTGTTATAAACTTTTTACTGTAATTATTTATAAGGCTTTTTCAACAGATCACCAAAGCATTTCTGCCAGACATGATAAAAAAAAACCATGGACACCTTGTGTCCATTGCTAGTCTAGCTGGACTAGGAGGCATGCCACAACTAACAGATTATTGTGCATCTAAGTTCGCAGCAGTTGGCCTAATGGAATCACTTTATGTAGAACTCCATGCAGAAGGATATTCGAATATCCATACCACCACTGTTTGTCCTTTTTTCATCAACACTGGAATGTTCAACGGTGCCAAAGCAAAGTAAGTAGCTCTCTAACATATGTTTGCATATTGAACAATACAGTTATATGCAGAGTGTTCAAAAAAGGTGGCTACACACTTTATAAATGCTGATCACAGATTTTTCTCGAAATAAAATGTATAATTTTATCAAAACACTTTCAAAGCCAGAAGGATTCTAAAATTATAAAATGTAACTTTAATTTTTAATCCAAGAAGAGCAAAAATTCGAGTTGAAAAAATGGTTATAACAACAGAAATATTTTTATACTTTTATATATAAAATTTACTGAGATTTTCGAGAACAAATTAATTGATTTAAATCAATTTTCATTGTCTATTAGGAGAGAAATTAAATGTTTTCCTACAAAATCTAGAAAGCAACTACAAAACAGGAATTGCGCATTTTTGTAGTATATGATTTTGGATGGAATACAGTAGCACACGCTACTGAATTTTTAACTTACCCTGTGAAAATATTGCCTTTTTACATATCTATTTGTAGCTGTGCTTTGCGCTCGTGTTTTTTTATATTCATTGTGAATTTTACCTTTAAAGTTATAGAACTTCTGAATTTCACTCAATTATAAGATAATAAATATTTGTCTGACTGGAATTTTTGCTCTGCGAAGTCCACATAAAAAGTAAAATTTTATAGTTGCAGAGCCTTCCAACGCGCAGAAAGGAATTTAATAAAATTCTCTCTTTTAATTTGAGAAAATTAGTACTGTTTCAATATAATTCTACCCTTTTTGAAAGTGTCCGATCAATATTTAAGGAAATAGTAGAGTTAAAAGAAGTAGCCATCTTTAGCAAACATCCTGTGTATACATACTGAACATCTCCTAAACCGAAATTTGGAAATATTTTAAGCCCCCAACATGATCTTGTAAGCGAAAACCTCCGTATCTCATTGAAAGTGATGAGTCGTAATCATAGTGCTAATGTAAAATAATTTATTCAGTGTCCCAAAAGAAAAAAAAAAGCGTTCCAATATTTTTCAACTGAAATGCATTTTTCCATGAACATTCAAATTCTGCATAAAATCAGTGCCCACAAAGAGTAATAAAATGGACCATGTATGGACCAGAAGCACGAATGTAAACTTTCCACGCATTTTATGGAGGTAAATTTCACTTAGAATTTGCTTTATAACCTAAAGATATTGTCCAAGTTATCAAAATGGTCTATGGATGGGTAATAGGGAAAGAGAAAAAATATTTATATTTGTCTAAACCATTGATAGTCAAGTTACTGGAAAAAATGGACAGCGATGTAACAACATACCAAACAGCCATCGACCTTATAATATGTAGGTATAATCACCTACCTAATAACATGTACAATTTCTTAAGCCGGCAAAATGGCAGCTTTCTCTGCGAGACATCGATTAGATGAAGTAGTAATGATATACTGAGATATCTGGTACCGTAATCTCAACAACAGTACCTAAGTTTGATATATTTTAGAACGGTAACGATGTTGAGCATAACCCGGATGTTCTTTCTATTACTTTATTAGATTATATTTTAGATTTTTTTCCACGGTGCAGTAAATAGTAACATTTCGTGTCGCATAGCTGCCAATTCTCTCAGTTTCTTGTTACATCTCCCGGTTTTAATATTTTAGCCTTTACTAAAATAACTGCTTCCTAGTAGTAAATAAAATTTATTGAATTAATGAAGCTTCAAGTTATGCAAATTCTATTTTCCTCATCTATAGTGGTTTTGAGCACAATTTTTCGCGTTAAATTTTATTTGATCTGAATTCTCTTTATCTGCTGTAGACATTTACAGAACGTTTTATGAAGATTCAACGAATGTTTAATCAATTAATATTTGCATACAGTTTTGTTTTACATCAATAAATGACACATTGTTAAGCTAATCCACACAATATTATGTACATTAATTCTTAACTTTGTTTTCATCGTAGTTAAAAGCACTAAACAAATAAAAAAAACTTTATACAAAAAGACAAATAAAAGCTCTTACTTATTCAAGATTTTCTCAGTATAAAAGCGTAGCACAATTGCAAAATGAAATTTGTCAAAGAACATAAAATTTATAATATCTGACTAAATATTATTATATTTTACATCAGAATCATACAATAAACAGTTCAATAACTTGAATCATGCAGCATAAGCTGAATTTAAGTAAATTTGAATGTCCTTTTAATCAATTGAAGTTCTTTTGATGAACTGGAATTCATTACCAATATGTTCCTAGTCTACTCCTTCATGATCCACAACCGTGAGTTTTACTACTTGTAATGGTAACACAACGACATTCCGATATCTGTCAGAGATGTTCTGCTCAGATAATGAGCACGAAATGTTTTCATCACGATACCATTCACAGCATTACATCCCCATCGCTGTCTTCTGTCCGCTCAAAAGAGCACCAAAATGCTATAGCCCTCGATGGTAATTAGCGTACACACGGCTGTCTTCGAAGGCACTATAAACCTCGATTCGTTGGCCAAAGATACATTGTTTAAGTTCTATACTAAAAGCGATAAGTACAAATTATTGAAAAACATGTAAAACACTGCATAATGCTAAAATTTAATATCTCGATCTAATATTGGAAAAGCGGATCCATCAGCGTCGCAGTGAACATATACCACTTAATTGGTATACCGATCATGAAATAAATATCTGTCACAATGCAATGAAAACGAATATTCAAGATGCTGGTTGTATAAACTTAAGGAGTTTTAAGGTATTAATTTTTTAAGATTTGCGGTGATTCAGCATATGCAGATAAGAAGGCAGCAGAAAAATTCGTTGAAGAGTTTATCAAGGCCATTGCTGATGAAATATCGCTGTTTTAACGTGATTTAAATATCACTATTCCTTACACTAATTGCTACTGATGCGAATTATGATAAACAAATTAGGAATGCTATAGATGGCATAACTGCGTTGCGATATGCTAATGCAGCAGGTAAACATAACTGTATACTTGCTATGATAGTCAGAAATTGTATCTTCGTTCCTTTACAGAAATGTATTTTTACTGGCTCAGAATTATCCTAACAAAAAGGTATGATCACTCCGAAAACCTTTTTTTCTAATGGTTTTATAAAAATTTTGACCAACAACCATATTTTGACCGAGGCAGGTTGTCTGCATTGGATAATGACTGCAAGATCTTGCTATTTTTTAAAATTATTCTACTTACCCTCCCTGAAATTCTCATAAAAAATAAAGCTTATACCCCATAGTATTTTGCCCTAAATGTACCATCATTAGTTCAGCCATAAGATTAGAGTATCCTTAGTTTAATGAATAGCATGCTAACAACAGTGAACAGAGCTAAGGGTGTGAACGATTTCAAAAAAGTTTGATTTATTTATTTGATTATGGTAAATCACGCTAGAACTATCTGCCTAAGGGAATGGATGCCTTCGTGGAGAGGAACCTGGCTCGTATCCACGTTACACATGGGAAAAACCACGAACATGCCCATACAGTCAACTTATTCACCTAAAATTGAAACCAGGTCGAGCTACCAGCTTTCTGACTTTACCCCTCGGCCGCGGATAGGCCGATTTACAAAAAGAGTTTAACATAAAAGATGTCGAATAACGCTGTTGTTAACACTTGGAGCCCGGCTTCTGAAACAGATAAAAGATGCAGCTGGCTGTGTCAAAATAAATTAATTAATCATACAGTTGTGTATCTTAAAGCAGCCTCTGCTCAATTATAGTAAATATAGTAACGATTTTGAAGAATTCTGCAAATCAAATGAAAAAGGAATAATGTCGAGTTCCTTCATATATGCCTAATTTATACCTTTAAAGTCCGTTAGTAAGTTAGAAAAAGTGAACACAGAAAGCTCAAAATTCATAATGAAGCTATCCTTCCTCATTTATTGACCGATTGTGAAACAGTAGAAATAGTTTTTCAATCAACATGACTGTTAGGATAGTAAATGACTTTGCTTACAATGCATAAAAAGTGGCTGCAGACGACGTAACGAAAGTGCGCAGTAGATATATTGAAGAAACAGAACAGCGTGCATTCATGGTAGAACAAGAAATCTTGCCAGTTCATAAATTCAAAAAGATACTTCTAACAACGAAAGATATCGGATTCCCGATTGTAACCGCCGCAAAGCCTTCAGTGATGATCAAGCATGCGAACGAAAGTGCGCAGTAGACATATTGAAGTATCTGGTGAAAATTGCCCGCAATTGCCAAAATAAGTGAATGAAGTTACACCATAGTCTATAATAGTATTTGCAGCTACAAAGAGTGGTAAACGTAAAGCGAGATTTGAGGCATTCCCCTATCAGCAACAAAGGCCAGATACCCCATTATAAATATGCTACATCATGTGCATATTGGCCACTTTAGTTAACCCGAACACACAGTATTTTTAAGGTGTCATCCTTTTTACTTGTAAATAATTATGTGTGAATAGGCGTAAGAAATTCGTTGCTTATTAGTGGCAGCAGATATAAAATTACTTCCAGATTATTTTTATAATGCACATAATATGAAGCATACTTGTAAAAGAATTTTTCACTCAGATCCTATTTCTAAGCATGTGTTTATGCATGCGTTTCAGAAATGGGGAGGAGGGAAACTTCTGTACCCAGGCATCGAGTAAGGGACAATCAAACTAGCTTATAAATGCTCTTTCACTACTAAATGTATCTTTTCGTCACTGTTATGCTCGCATGAGAAATATTATGTGCCTCACTATTTTTTTATATATAACTGCATAAATGTTTCATTGTGAATTAAATATGAATTCCAACAATTAACATAAGTATTCGTATTGTCACATGATTCTGCAATAGAATTTCGAAGGGTTGGTAACAGTTCCTTGCGGCTTAAAAGCAGTAGGATCACAAGGTTTCTCGTCTATGAAATGAAATAAAATGGAACATGTGATTCTTTAATCATTAATTACAAATAGTTTATGCTTTTATAAGAGAATAATCATAGTATGGAAAATTAGCTAATTTCCTACAAAATTAAAACGAAAATTATTTGAAAAACTCTTTTTTTACATGTTTCAGTATTCACATAGTTTGTTAACTAAAAAACCATGTCTGCATATACATGAAATGTATAACAAAAATATATTTTAGTTAGTAAGATTTTTCTTTTCTTTTCTTTTTAGGATGTTTCAAATGCTTGAACCGGATTATGTTGCAGAAGAAATTTTAGCCGCTGTTTTATGTAATCAACAAATCATTTTAATTCCTAGAATTTTCTACATTTTGAACGTTGTGAAAACGTAAGTACTTTTTTCTAAGCATGATAAGTAAGCTTGTAAGTATGCTAAAAACATAAGTACTTTTTTTCAAGCGTGATAAGTAAGCTAGTAAGTATGCTTCTCAAATCTGAAATTTAAGAAACAAACTAAGGGACTATTCACTAATTCACTCGTATATAGCAACTACACTTGTGTCCAAAACTTAAGCAACAAATTAATTTTTCATCATACAACCATGAAAGTGTTCAAAAGAGCTTTTTACGATCAGAGCTATGAAACGCCAACTCCGATCAGTTTTTGATAGACACTAGGCGTCTGTTACGAGAAATACTCGTAAAATATCGTAAGAATCGCATTTTTAATACTGAATTAAGTAATAGCATACAGTTTCAGAGCAGAGAACTGCAATGTTGAAATGCCCACCGAACACTGTTTTGAGTAATACACTCTTAGACAACAACAACAAAAAAAAAAAAAAAAAAAAAAAAAAAAAAAAAAACGACGCACCAAGAAGGAGTTATCTGAATGGGACAAAATCAGTAGAAGTGATGTACATGTACAGAAAAACAAATGTTACAGTTTGAGAAAAATTGGATGATTTATTGAAGTGCTTCACAAAGTGAAAAAGTCAGTAACGCGTTTGTCCACCTCTGGCCCTTATGCAAGCAGTTATTCGGCTTGGCATCGATTGATAGAGGTTGCGGATGTCCTCCTGAGGGATATCGTGCCAAATTTTGTCCAACTGGCGCTTTAGATCGTCAACATCCCAAGCTGGTTGGAAGGCACTGCACATAATGCTCCAAACGTGCTCAATAGGAGAGAGATTCGGCGACCTTGCTGGCCAAGGTAATGTTCGGCAAGCACTAAGGCAAGCAGCAGAAACATGTGCAGTGTGGGGTTGGGCATTATCTTGCTGAAATGTAAGCCCAGTGTGGCGTGACATGAAGGGCAACACAACGGGCCGTTAGAACTGTGCTGTAAGGTTGCTACAGATGACAACCAAAGGAGTCTTACTATGAAATGAAATGGCACCCCAGACCATCACTCCTGGTGCCGGAAGACAGTCAAATTGCTATAACACCGCTGTCCGGGGCGGCTCCAGACTCGCCTTCGCTGGTCATCGGGGCTCAGTTCAAAGCGGGACTCAACACTGAAGACTATCTACTTCAGTCAGTGACATTCCAGTGCGAATGAGCACGACACCACTGCAAACGGGCTTGACGTTGTACAGAAGTCAATAGTAGTCGGAAGTTTAAAATAATCAACTAAAATTAACGTGGGTAAACAACTCTTTTTAATCAGGAATATATAACTTGCGTTAGTGTTCCGTTCACCCTGACACTTATTATCGCTTCCGCTACGCAAAAGGAATATTTCGCCTCCAAGCGCTCCGACTCAAACGGTTAATTAACTTAATTGTCCTTAATTTTACGATCAACCAATTTAGAGAGTTTCAGCGTATTAAATTATTTCAGCGTAATAAAAATCAATTATTTCCCGATGTGATATATCAGAACAGAATGCTACATACAAAAGTACAAAAGGCACGGCAAGCATATGTCTGTTTCATGATTCTCTCGTTTGTATAATTTACACTTATAAAAGACATTCAATTTGCACACACTAGCTTCCATTTGTTTTAAATTTATGTTGCTCACCATGCAAAAAGTATGTTAAACAGAAAAGAGCAAATATATTTAGATTAAAAGTCAAAATTGCTCATTTAAGTAATATTAAGGATATGAAAACTTTTCTAGTTTCTAGTAGTTTTACGTACTTAACTTTTAGACTTCATGTTCATAAAATATTTTAAATACTTTATAAATTCTGTCAATAAAGGAATTATTTTACAAGATAGGCAGTTACGTATAATTTTATTTCATCTGTTTCGAATTATGGTTAATGAAATTACAAGCAAACTTCTTAGTAATTCTCGAAACTTATACCAAAATGAATTTTGCGCTGAAAGAATACTTTTTAAAAAAAGGTATCCTTCACAAATAATTCCGATTTATTAAAAAACATTAATTTCAAATAAGTTGTAAGTCTGAAATGTGTTATAACATCAAAAAATCAAAACAAATTTTACGCAAAATGTAAATTATCTTACATTAAATGATTTCGTGAATGCTTGATATTATTGTTAGCACTGATTAGGAACCATGACTGGTAATTCATTTCACTTTTGAATCCCATCTAATGGAGCGGCTGCATGGTTGTTTTGCCATTTCCAACATGTAACGTGAATACAAAACTGTTTTCCTTAAAAAGTTCTCCGCAAAAGCATACCTCTTCTTCGGCAGATAACCCTCGTGCACTTTGCCGCATTCAATTAAACTAACTCTTTTGTATATTTATGAATTTTTTAAAAAAGACAGATATATACTTATAGAATACTAATACTTACAAATATTATTTCTTATAGATTGGTACCATCAAAGGCTCTGTTAGCACTTCATGATGCATGTGGTGGCTCAATGTCAATGAAGGCCTTTACTGGACGAAATATGAAGTCTAAGGAACAGTAAATATCATAACAAAAAAAAGAAGGATTTTCATATCAGTACAAATTTCCTTATGGAGCTCATCTGTAACATCTTTTCATTCTGCAGTACTTCAGTTATTTGAATGTATTATACATTATTTCTCATAAAGAACAAACCTAAGGTGACTTTTTTTTTAATTCTCAGTTCTGGACAACAACAAACAGTAAAAAGTTCTACAAATATTGATTTTACCTCCTTCTCGTAGAACAGCTTACAATTTTGTTCAAGTCACATATTTATACCAATACATAAAATCAATTTATTGTCTTATTACGTAGACCATACTTTACAAATGCAATGAGTTTTCCGATAAGGAAGTCATTTCATAAACTAAACTGTATCTGAAACTTTCTTTAACACATATGCATTGAAGTATTATAAAAAGACCTTATCATTTATTAAATATAAAAGTTTTAATAAATAATTCATAGAAATTTGAGTTCCCAGTCAAAAATCTAATTTAAAACCCAAGATAAATTAACTTCAGTCATAGACATAAAAAGAAAGCCAGAAAATAATCATGGAGCTGCTTGCTGAAAGCTTTCTACAAAGTTCTGTCATATAAAAGTTCAATTTAAATATGAAAATCCTCCCAAAATGTGCCTTTTACATTCTGTACTCATATAGAAAATTCATATACCTCAAATATAACACGTATATTAAAAATATCAATCACGTGCAAAATTTTGAAACTAATTTGGGGATCACGGGCCACAACTTCTTATATGACTGATGTTTTTAATGTGCGTGAGTTCTGGTCGATTTTCTACGAATGTAAAATGCATTTTTGGAGTATTTTTCATGAAAACGTTTTGTAAAAAAGCATTTAGCAAGCAACTGATAATATCAGAGCTTTGACCTATGCTTCTTAAAAGAATACATTAGAAATATTTTCAACTAATAGCACAGATTAATTCTCAATTGATTATTAATGGATGTTACATAAGTTTACCTAATTCTATTTACAACGAGTTCGCTAGTGGCTGAGTGCTTGAGACCACGGAACATTAGTAGATCGAGCTTGATTCAAATCCTAGTAAATGCATTGGCTGTATGAATGTTTCCCTGGTTTTTCTCATGTGTAACGTAAATGAAAGCCGATTTCTCTTAGACAGTCACCCCTCCCCCACAAAGGCATCTCTCCTTAAGCGAGATAGCTCGCGCGCAATTTTCCATATTTGATTTATCATCTAATTGCAAGGATATACACACTAAGATCTTCATAAAACTGTAACTAAATCTCTGCATGCAACAGACCGAACATTTAGGACGTAACAATTTAGAATTTTAAAAATGCAGTTAAGAAATAGAATGCTGTAGAATTTCTAAATATGTTCTATAAGATTTACTCAGTTTAAGAGCAGTGAACTGAATTGTTTCTTCTTAATTTACCTTTTCAGACAAATACTAAACAATGCTCAAGTGCCAGATTTTAAATTAAGATCAAGTATTATAAATTCAGCATCCTTGCACAGTTAAGCTGAAAAGGAATAACCAGACCAGTGGTAAAAATTTCAGATATGCTAAAAGAATATAATAAACAGCTTAAATAAAATGCAGCAGTACTCACAGAGAATGGTTAATGTGAATTTCATTTCATGAGATTGAAAGTATCATTTTCTCCATTCAATATATTTGCTAAAGAGTTCTAAATAATATTTAATAACATTGTTTTTTTCTAGTCAAACTTAAAGAGGTACTAATAACGACAACTTGTGTTATTATTAAGTTTAAATTTATGCAGAGGGCACTGCTGTTATGAACGCAGTATATTTTAGCTGATCGCGCTTTGCCGACGAGAGTGTATACGTTTTGTTTTCCCAGTGATTCTTAATTTTGGGGGGGGCTTGAGAATAAAAAAACGCAAATTCATACAATCCACTGTTTATTTAGTTATTTCGCACGGCAATATAATCTTTAGTACTGTTTCATCCGCAGACCCTTATGGGTTTCATAAGAACAATAACTATTATTGCTCAATTTTGATTTCGTATGCTGCGATGCTACGAACCCCGCATAAGCCATTTTTTAATACTTTCTATTCGTACACTTGTTTACAGCGCTTCGGTTTAGAACCTTGTGTTTTGACACCTGCAAAACATTTGCTTGTCATCGCGTGATGGATAATGTGTGATTTTCGTATTAATCAAACAAATTTTGATTCAACTGACTCTTGCTGAAACATTTAAGAACACGCGTCTGCTATATTAATTAAGGGTATCTTTAACTTTTTCATAACGGACACGTAATGACTATTAGCAAAGAAAGGAGTCACTAAAGGAAAGTTAACGAAGTTAAACTATAAAATAAATTTTGATATTGTTAATGCAAATGTCGCAAAAATCGAACGTTAAAGAAAGAAAAAAAAAACTTAACAATTTAAGTACAAATGTTTCACGCATTTTTGATAATATTTGTGCAACCTGTGAGGAAAAGGAAGTTGATGTCTATGTTGAAGAATATCAAGCAGTTCAAAATATTATTGAGGACTTCTACTTGGATTTTGGAAATTCTTGCTTTGAATTAATGTTAGTTCAGTTAGAGTTAAACCAGACATTACCAAACTGCCGAATTTGACTTAAATGTAATTTTAGTGGAATTTTAGATCAATGGATTACATTTAACATTTTTATGGCAAGAGTACGCAATGATATTAATTTATCAGCCTCTCAAAAGCTTCAGTATCTTAACAGCTCGAAGGTGGTCACTATTAAAGGTGATATTGGTTGATCGGACTCCTGGATATGAATGAAACAGCATGGAACAACATTTGATATAAAAAATTATATTTTAGTACACACAGGAATTAGACTCCTACCGGGAGTATTGCGTAGCGGTCTTTTTACACCAACGGTACCCGCCAAAAGAGACTGAGAGGCGAAAGAGAAAATGTTACGTAAAAAACAAAACACGTCATGTGCAACTCTTGATGCTTGGCTGATGCGGCGGCGCCTCTCGCTCCCATGATGAAGTGCTACAAGCTCTTGTAAAGCTGAAGCTCTAAAAATAGTTCAAGTTATATTTGTTTCAAATTCAAATTATACAATTATCTGGGGTTTACTTGAAAATAGATCTTTGAATAAAAGAGAACAGATGAATGCATTAATTAAGAAGCTTACTACGCAGCCAAATATTGTTGATTTAGCGGAAGCAGTTTTGAATCTCGTCGATGTCACTAATGAATGCGTTCGTTCCCTAAGTGTTCTGGAACTCATTTACTTGTAGAAAAAATGGATAGATACGTATGCATTTAGTATGTGAGACAATTAAAGAGCGCTCAACTAGGAACATTAAATTAATTACTTACTGTTACAAGAGAACATGCCAGAATACTTCACAAAAGTAAAACCAGTTTTAAAGGAAGGAAGATAAGCTCTAAAATTACACCGTTGGAATCAGAAATTACTACAAGTTTTCTTTATTTAAAAAAAAAAAAAAAAAAAAAAATGTTACGTTATAAGTGAGATCAATACCTTAAATTGCGTGTTTAGAAGGGATTTGATTTTGTGAAATTTAATAAACTTTGTTTTACATGTTCTCTATTACGCATAATGTTAAGGCTTATAAAAGCTTGAGTAAATGCAACACGTGCCATAAAAATTATCATTCATTCTGTATTTTACAAAATCTCGAGATGCTGTTTTATCTGCTACTGATAATAATGAAAATATTTTATCAGTTCATGCAAGAGTGTTGAAATATGGCAGAAAATACTATCCCAGCTAATGTTTCTAATAATTTTAATCAGATAAATTTTAATTTTGTGAATAATAGTGGAACTGTAAGCAAACAGGTTTTATTATACACTGCTGTAATCAGAATTCGTGAAGCAATAGGTAATTTCGTCCAATGTCGAGCCTTGCTGGATTCTGACTCACAGCCAAACTTTATTATTGAGACAGTGGAGTAGCGAGCATAACTGGCGCCTGGGGCAAAATACCTTTTTAGCGCCACTTTCGCCCCGAAAAAAACACAATGATGAATTCATGTTTGGAGACCATTTGGCGCCCTTCTGCTAGCGGAGCCCGGGGCATCATACACCCTTGCCCCCCCCCTCGCTATGCCAATGTACTGAGAGTTGTCTTTCAGAAATTCGTTTGCATAGAAAAAAGGCAAATATTCAGATATCTTGCTAGGATCAACCGCATCTCAAACAAATGGAGAAATGGGTCTTACTTGACACCTCTTTTTGGTTGAAAACCTTCTATCTTTTGTTTGTATTATAAACAAGGTTTGTGGAAACTTACCGCACGTGTCTTTGCTGTTAAATATTGTAAACTCTTTCAAGGGTCTAGTTTTGGTGGATCCTGCATTTTATAAATCTGCTCCAACAGATATTCTTCTAGGAGTCAATGTTTTCGTGTTCAGTTGTTTTGGGTGAACCAGTTAAATGAAACCTAGAACTTCCAACTGCTGCTCGTTCGGCATTAAATTGGATCGTTTAGGAGCAGCATTGTTTAACTCTTATGTAAACGCCTGTATATCTTTAAATAATTTAGATTTAAATATTGAGGAATTTTGTTTGGAAATTCTGGACTCTTGAAACAGTTCTGGAAGAAATTATTCTCTCGAAATCTCTTCGAGAAAAATTTCTCGAAAGTAAAGTTTGCGTAACGTTTTAAATCTCATAACAAAGACAATGCAATTACCTTTCCAGACATCACCATCAAAATTAGGGGATTCAAAGGAATTGGATTTGAGGAGGTTTCTTTACTTTTCGAAAATAGGTTGGTTAACAAACCTGAACTGTATAAATTATATAAGGAATTTCATGATGGATATTTGTATTTGATTTGCAATATATGGGAGCAGTGCTGGCAGAAAATTTTCAGCTAAAGTAACAAAAGCAGACTCAAAAAAGTCGCAAATGACGTCAGAGATCACGTGATTTGGTAACGTCATGGTTACGTATGCTCATATGACTTCTGTCGTCATCACAAATTTCCTGTCTGTTGTCCCGTAAGTTACGGAATATATTCAACTCTTAGTCGTTTTAATTATGTATCTTAGCTTTAACGAAAATTTGAAAACTATATTGCTCATTTTCAATTGTTTAAATATCCACTTTTATTTTAATTAATTCTCATTTAAATTAATTTTTGCATATCCATTCTTAAGAGATTCC